GAGTGAAGAGATGCTACAGAGCAAACAAATCCTACCAGTTCCTACAGGATTGTTCCCTTTAACCATCGTACACCTACTTAACCAGAAAGAATGCGTTACTGAAATCCCTCCGTCGGCACCAGAGTTTTACAAATTTCGAGATGCCATGTCCCTCAAGGTAACGATCACATCAAAGCACACACTTCATCTCATCAACCATTACACTCATGTTGAAGTGTACTTTACTGGTCCTACCCAGCACTGTCCATTAGTACGTAAGCTACTCACAACAGCTATTGATAATAGCACTGATGCCATGCACCTCAAGCATAATTACATCAATGCATTTGCTTGCCCTAACAATGAGAGCTGCTATTGTATTGTAAATGAAGATCATCATAAAGTAGCTGATTGTACAGTTTGTGGTGAATCTCCTGCTCTTAGCAATGACTACTGGACCTGGTTTAATGATGCACAAGGTATGTGTATACTAATAATTATTATTTATAATTTATCACTTGTGTATAGGACCTGATGAGGGTAAAAGTGGAACACAAATAAAACAAGATAATGATCAGCTATCAGATGAAAGTAAGGAACTATTGTTATTATTAAAAAACTATTAAAATTATTTTTCATTATTTTTGTACAGACATCTTAGACATGAAGCCTCAATTGAATGATCTTGTTAGACTATTTGATAGTTATGCTGCTCAGTTTAAACTCATTGGTATTGCATTATCAGTTCGAGTGGATGACCTGTTACCATATGCAGAGGCTACTACTAATAACCTCATTCAAGTGTTCCAGAGATGGATACGCAGAGATATAGACGTGACCTGGAGGACTATCCTAAAAGTTTGTCAGGGCTATCCTGATCACTTTGGAAAGGCAGAGGCTGAAGTAAAGCAGTTCCTCTCATCATCCACTGCCCATTCCCTACCTGTTGAGAGTAAGAGTATCATTCCATCATCCACTGGAGCTCATGACCATTATTTTAAATTTTTTCCTAGTAAAAGTTATGCTTTTGTTTTTATTGCTTCTTTGATATTAGTATTTGTTGCTATTTTGATATTTTATTTGTGTTAGAAGCTGCACTTTTTCATTATTTTAAATTAGTAATAATTTTTTTTCATTTTAAAAATAGCCACACGGCCTGGACATACAGGTCTATAGTAAGAATATTCTGTCTATTATTCTATCGAATGTACATAGATTTTGCAGCAACCTGCACGGGCCAATTTCTGCATATACAATGTACATGTAAATGAAGAGCAATCATTATAGAAAGGTTCACACAACTTAAGGGTTTATTATAATACATGTATAAACCATCTTTATAGTAAAAAAATTCATATTCTTCGAATTCTCTGCTGAATACATTTAGTGCAATGAAAGTCAAAAACAGTTTACATGCATCAGGAAATCTAAACAATGAAGGCAATGGACTAATTAAAAATAATAATCACAAAAAATTAGACAATTGATACATTAATGATACATTTCATTGTATTGACAATATTTCCATATAAGGAATGAAGAGGATATGCACTTTTGACATTATTGCATGTTAAATTATTACTCTAGAACCTTCTAGGACTTTTTGTGTTTTCTAGGACTTTCCAAATTATTCTTATTTATCTGTATGTACATTATTACGCATGTTACCAGAACATTCTAGATTCTTTTCAGTTTGTATATAAGTGTTCTGTGTTGTGTTGATTGCATTGCATTATAGTTCTTAGTTATTGGTTTAAGTAAAGTTAACTTGGTTGTATTCAAAAACTCTAACAGGTTATGAGCCCAGCATGGCTGAGAATAAAACTGCTGTTGTACCGTTGAATAACTCAAATTATGTTACTTGGAAGCTGCAATATCATATGGCTCTGATGAAGGATGGACTATGGGGAATTGTTAGTGGCGTGGAAACAGCTCCTGATCCGAGTCGAGCTGAGGCGTACGCTAAATTTATTGGTAAAAGAGATCGTGCTCTTGCCATTATAATCTTGTCCATGGAGCCATCGTTGCGTTACCTCATTGGAGAAGACCCGGAGGATCCAGTGAAGGTGTGGAAACATTGCAGGATCAATTTCAACGGAAAACGTGGGCAAACAAGCTGTCTCTGCGAAGGAACTGTATTCATTGAAGCT